TTCAGTGGGCTACCAGTTGTGAGTTGCAGGGTGATATGGGTGCTGGCTTTTTTAATGCCAGCTCTTTAATGTTAATGGTCTACTTCATCATGCCAATTGCACTTTTTAGTGCATTTCCATACATAGAGAAGACCATATTAAAATATACCCTATATTCTTTTGGATCTTTATTTTGCACACTCATAACAGATCAGTTGCCTTGGCACAAATCTCTGTATAACCGGGTTTGGGCAGGGAACAAGATATCCACACATTATCAAAAAGCATTGTGTCTATTATAGTAGCTTACAGGTACTTATCAGAGGTGGGAATGAAATGGTAGGGGTTCTGGTATTTGTGCCAGAATGATGCTGAACTCCAGCCCTGCTTAACTGAACTAGATCCATTGTTTTATGACTAACAAACTGACCATTGTAAAGAGTGGCAACACTTATATGCACAGAAGTACGCCAAACTTAAAACCAAATATTTAGTTTTGCATTGTTTGAAAAGTTAAAAACAATACAAAAATATATTTTTTAAAAGGTTACTCATTTTTAAATTAAAAAAATAAATCCACTTTTTTTTTAATTCAACTGACTTGTAGAGCACTATTCTATTTTTTAAATGTTCACAAATCTTACATGAAAATAACAGGTGTAGTGTAACAATGTATTACTGATAAACAGATGAACTAATTTACAATCTTTATTGCACCCAATTAAAAAGGGTGCCCCTTTCTGAGTGAAGCTGTTTTAATTTTAATTTTGATTAATTATTTTTCCCATGGGCAAATATTTATTGAAATTTGCATTCAAATGAAAAGGGGTGACTTTAGCAGGCAATAACATTCGTGTGGAATGACACAAACACAGGCTAGATTGTACCCTCTTTATTTAATTTTGCAGTGATTTTGAAATGTGAGTGCTTGATGTTTCAAATTACAGGAGAACACTGAGGAACGGGATTTTTTGCGGCTCAAATGTACCCAGTCCTTTATTTCTTCACTTTTTGTTGTTGAGCTAGTATCATAAAACCTATTTAATGTTAAATTTGGAAATGGTGTAAAGATGTCCACACTTTTGTTTCAGCGAATACACAACTTGATGTTGGGCTCTTTTGTAGCCTAAATGTTATTCCTGAGGTATATTTTAGGGGCTGGAGCCTTGCAGATGTGAGAGCTGTTTTTTAGTTAGAGTGGGAAAACTGGTTTATATGTGGTGGCTATGCGAGTTGCTCAATGCTGCGTATGCCTAGTTTTTATTACACCAAAAAAACAAAGACTACACCCTGGACTATGCTGTTAGCAACACTGGTGGGGGTTAGAGTTTAAAAGATGTTAGCTTTATGTTTAACTGACCACGTCAGTGTGCTACTTTATTTCTGTCCTCAATTTAGGCACAGGAATGGCAATATACAGTATCAATGACAACTGCATGTTAGTGGGTCAATTCAAATATTTCCTGCTAGTGATCTGTGCCATTTTCTGTTGCTGTTCATCTGTTCCATTTTCTGTTGCTGTTCATCTGTTCCAAAAGCTGCTAATTTTGGGAAATTCTGCTTTCGCTGTGGTGGGTTTCCAGTCTGTGGATGGAGAACAGGAAGGTTTTGTTTCGCTTCTATGCCATCGCTTTTTTTTTTTAAGTTGAAACCAAAATTGAGTAATAGGGAGAACTAATTAAGACTCCACCACTGCAAAGTGCCCTTAGGAAGGTATTTGGTTGTGTTAAACAGAAAAACAACTGTTTTTTTGTGAAACATAAAAAAGTCCAAAAGGTCCAAAACCTGTCATTTTGTCATTTTGTATGTTTGCTGCTGTCTCTATCAAGTATTGGATTTCTTTAAGGGTATACAGAACATTAGTCTCAATTGATATGTATTCCTATGGTCTCAGCTGTCAAAACAGTCATTGTGGGAGTAATGCCCTGCGGTGCCACACCATAAGTATAACATTGCACCTGATGTACCCATTTGGACCCATGAACCTGCTTCCCTGATACACCTGCCTGTCAGTCACGCATTGCTAGACTTGCTCTCAGCATCATGATGCCTTACAGGGCAGTTTGTACTGATCGAAGGAGCAGCACATCTCTCCCTGACATGAATGATGGCCTGAAGGTGCCCAGAAAATCGTAAGAGTCTCATACTGAAAGCCAAGACATCCCTGGCCAATAGCTGTTGTCTGTCTTTACCAGGTTTTAGCCCATTCTGGTCAAATCTCAGAAGTTAAGATTTGACCAGAATGGGAGTGGTGAGTCCTTGGTATCTCCAAAGGTTTGAGTAGTATGTAGAACTAGAGTTAGGTAGGTAGTCTGTACTACTAGAAGAAGTGTAGACTTTCCTATCCAGTGCCTTTTTATCCTGATTGGAGGATTCTGTACTGTAGGAAGTGCTTTGCTTTGAATGAGGTGTTAAATTGAGGTCCTGACTACCTGATCCCATGTCACTGAAGAAGAAGGGTGTTAAGCCAGTGTCCTGGTTAAATTCCACAATCTCTCCTATTTAAAGTTCCCCCTAATTTAATCTGTGAAGTAATTTCTCACTTCTCCACCATGTCTCCTGTGTAGTGGGCCTGGTGATGTAGAATTGAAGTGTTTTGGTATCTTTTAGAACTAAAACCGCTATATAGTGTAAAAGCGTTTGTTGCTCTGACCTCACTTAACCAGGCAGGATTCTGTTTTTTGGTTAGGCAAATTAAGAGCTATTTGGCAGTTTAGTAGTATTTAAAGTAAACGGAGATCGCCTGAATTTCTGTCCTTTTTTTTTGTCCTTTGTTTTTGTTTTCTTTCTGTGTTTGATTGTGTTTTTTGTCCTTTGTTTTTTTGCTAACAGTTTCACCTCAGCTGATGTACTGTAGGTTATTTCAACTTGACGTGAAATTGAGACTTGAAGTTCTTTTAATGAAGTGCAGCGGCACTTTGAAAGAGGTTTTGTAGATGTCAATTGTCGACAAAATAAAAGCATTAGAGTCAGGTTCTTCTTTCTTAGTATTGATACAGACCTACCAAGGGAGGTAAAATGTGTTCGCAAAACCAATCTGCAGTTCTCATTGGTTATTTTTCAGATTTTAGCTGGGTTACTGGTGAAAATAATCACTTAGGCCAAAATTAGGTTCTGAGTGACTTCAAATTGCCCCAAAAGAAAAAACTGATCTCCTTGTAATATAAACAGATTCTGAGGATCATATGTATAAACGCTTGGGGATGTGAACTGTTCATTGCATTACTGTAAGCTTGAAAGTGCAGTAGGGCCTATTTTCCGTGAATCATTGGTGCTGTTGCACATGAATGGTTCCTGTATGGAGACTGGAGTACTTACAACAGAATAGCATTGCAAGGTCAAGTTGTTCTGTGAACGCTGTTGTTAAAGGATTAACAGGGTTCCAGTCACAGGTGGCAGATGATGTTCCTCAGTGGGATGTCTGTGTTTTGGAAGCTCACACAGGAGAGCAAAGTGTCAAAAAAATGTTTTCACTTCCATTTGTAGTCTGAGGGCTTCAGCAGCAGGCCGCCAGAACCTGCTTAATTCTAATGTCAATGGTTCAGGAGATACAGGAAACAGAAAAATAACACCACCACTATTATCCTTTGAAAATGAATTCTATAACATGAACGCCTGCTTTCCTAGAGCAGTCGCTTGACTACAAGGCCTTCCAAAGTTTGTACATTAACTTATATAATAATAAAGGTCTCTGGGTCAATGCTACCTCAGTGCTGTCCACTTAGAACAGAGTGCCCTTTGACTGAATAGATAAATACTTTATTGTCCACTACTGTGAAAATCTGCCTTTGGCTTTTCCCATAAAACTACAAAACACACAAACAAAGCATAAAAGTCACAGAAAATCACATGAAATGCATGAAATCACAACAACAGTACGTGATACATAAACAAATGGATCAATAAATAGGTAGTGAGGGGGGACAACATTTACTGGCAAACTCTTCTGCCGCCCTCCCCTCAGATCTAAAGCAGTACCCACAATGCCTTTTCCCCAGTAGTTCCTTGCTTGCTGCTTATCGTAAAGAAGATTCAACATGCTCTTTCGCTGCTCTTTTGCAGCTGAGATTGAGGAAGCTCAATTCAAAGGCGGGAGGGGAGGTGTTCCGGTGTGAACTTTGCAGCTGCTGAGGGTTCCTCATCCTGGAAACTGGGCTGTTGTTCACACTTCAATTTCACCTCACCTCTTCCCTGTCGTCTCTCATTGGTTTAACACACCAGTCGGCCAGCTCATCTTAGGGGGGTGTTGCTGGCTTGTGGAGGCACGTGTACGAATACAGAGTGTGGGAATGCCCTTACTGCTCCCTCACCAATAAAGTCTGAATCATACCGACTCTTTTCCTGTGGTTGCAACAACATGATATTTTTTTGACACCACTTTTGAGACATACACACTTAACTGTCATGTTTGGCCTCTCCAAGCCAGTTAGGCCCTCACCTTATGAGGGTTACACTAACACAATGCTAAAACTTCTCCTTCTCTTTTTGTGTGACCACTGCACCAAGTGTGTCAAAGTTAAATGACAAGCCAGGGGCTGTTGCCGTCATCCACGATACTTGCCAAATTTGCTAAAATACCAATTATTAAAATGTTTTTTTTTATGAAAGCTTTATTGCAATTTCAGTTGTTTGAATCCTACAATTTGTAGAGCAGTAGTTGAATATACAGGGGGTCTTTAAGTAAAATAAGGTAATTGTGCCCATGAGCAATCATTTATTTACAGATACCGACAGGTATAATGAGTAATTGTAGGGCTCTGATCAGATTTTTCGACAGCCTCCTTACTTTTTTCAGCACGTACCCACAGTGACGCCAGCATATTAGATCTGTCAGTGTTGAAATCCACATGGAGTTCCTGGAGCCAGGACTTGACTGCTCACTAGTGCCGGATTCAAATCCCTGTGGGTTATTTTTGGTAATGGATTTGTGCGCTCCTGGGAACTAAAAATGAGTCTTTACACGGGCTGCCAGATTCTCCCAGACGAAAGTCAACCCTGCTCTGCTTTCTCCCCCCTCGCAGAGAGCTGAGGCGGAGCGCGCCGCGAGCCGCCATGCCTCTGGTCACCAGGAACATCGAGCCGCGGCACCTCTGTCGCCAGAGCCTGCCCAACACAATCAAGAGCGAGCTTGAGTGCGTCACCAACATCACCCTGTCCAACATCATCCGCCAGCTGGGCAGCCTCAGTAAGTACCCGCCAGGGCCTGACGCGCCGTTACAATAAATTCATTCATTGCATCATTGAAAGCTTTAAAGCAATGGTATATGACAGTCCCTGATCCTGGAGCCTGTCTGTTTGAAGTTAGTCCACTAAACTAGTTAATTACACTGGCTAATTGCTCTAAGGTAATAACTGTGGAGAGCTGTGAAGTGTTACTGCACAGCTGGCTGAGTGCTCTGGGTTAGATTGAGTGGGGCTGGTTCCTACACGAGCTATGACACGTGTCTTAGATGACAGCATGCGGAAGTCAAGGTTGTAGACACACTTTGGGTTGATAAGCAATTTGCAGCTACAGATTTATAGCCAGAAAAGCTAAAAAAATTGTAGCCTGAACTGTACAAATGTAGAATGCGTTTGGTAATGTAGAATATGTTGCCTGCATAACTTGGATGCGTGGTTTTCTTTATCTTGGAGTGGGGCTGATGTGCAGATGTGTGTCTCAGTCTGACCTCCTGAGCAGATGTTCTTGTCACTGTCAGTACAAGCTGCCGAAGGTGCTGAGTTGGCGTGTAGAAATTTAGATTGGCTCTGCCCTTTTTAACATGGCTAGTCACTGGAAACAGTCAAACGCGTTTCCCTGTGGTTGGATCAAGCATTTGGGTTCCGTAGTGCCTGCTGTCCTGGCTCGTGCCTTGTTTTCCCAATAATAATATCTTGATTTGAAACAGATGAATCTCTGGTTTGTAGCGTCAGACTCAGTTTAAACATAGCCCCTTGTTGCTGACCATATAATGATAGGAGGTCTAATTAGGGCCTGTGAGAGAAAAACAAGGCCATGTACAGTGGTTTGTCTGCTCAGGTTTCAAAATAACAGTAGCCATTTTAAAATAGAGCTTCGACAGACTGCGATAACCACTTCAGACTGTGCAAAGTAGTTGACTCAAGATCGATTACCATTTATTCTCTAGCGGTACATGATCTAAATTTCAAACAAACGCATCTCATTTCTTTCTTATTGTTCCTAAGCTCTATAAAAAGGAACACGGCAGTGTGCATATCCACTCTAGGAAACTACATGTATATAGTA